GTTTCATAGTCAAGTCTCCGAATAAACGGATCCTCATCACACACAATGCAACAYGGATCACTATGAAACCTAAACATGAATATGTTTCATCATCATTGTTTAATGCGCTTATTAAAWTTTATTATTATGCAATATCTAGTTTCATTATCCTCATTTGATATTGAATCTCATCCATTTTTTGCAATGATGAATCGATTTTGTCTATGCACCTGTTTCATTTACCTTTTCATCAACTTAACCATTCACCTACAACATCATTGTTCATGTCTTAAAGCGGTTCATGACTAACTGTTCAATTACATTATGAACCCATTTCATTATCATTAACACGTTACATCCACTGAACGGACTCCCTACGTAATTCTACAACGTGGTTGGCTATGAAACGAGTTCAACAGTCATTAACCAATTGTAAATGAACTCGTTTCATTGTCAAGTATCCGAATAAACGGATCATCATCACACACAATGCAACATGGATCACCATGAAACTTGAAAATGAATATGTTTCATCATCATGAAACGAGTGCATGAACATGTTTCATCATGAAACGAGTGCATGAACTTGAAAATGAATATGTTTCATCATCATGAAACGAGTGCATGAACATGTTTCATCATGAATAAAAAAAAGTCAATAAACCATATATTAATGAAACCGTCTCATATGAACATTAATTGCATAGAGAATAAAATATATTAAGCACCCATTTCATCTATTAAACCATTCACCTCCACCATCATTTTTCAAGTCTTAAAGCGCTTAATGATTAACCAGTCAATTACATCATGAACCCGTTTCACTTTCACTAACCCAAACATGAATATACATTAAAACTTGAATATGAATATGTTTCATCATTATGACCTGGAAGTACATGAACATGTACAATATAAATAAAAGAAGCAAATTATACATTTTATAATGAAACCTTCTGATATGAACATTAATTGCATAAAGAATGAAATATATTATGCACCCGTTTCATTATGCATTTAATATAATATGCAACCGTTTCTTCGTAATGAAACCTTTTCATATGAACATTAATATATTATGTTATGGTAATATGAAACTTTTTCATTTTAAAACCTTTTCATATGAAACAGTTTCATAACCGGTAATTTTTTATACAATGAACCTCAAATCATTCATTCATTACATAACAAGATAAAATCTTCATGAATGTTTCCAGCTTCATTGAATAAAAAAAAACAAATCAATTTTTAATATTATAAAATATTAAAATCTTTAAATCATTCCATTTATATAATTTCCATTATTAAATTTCCTTATTTAATATTCCTTAATAACTTCTTTATTTATGAAAAAAATTATGAAAATGACCAAAATGACCTTATTGATTAAATTTAATTAAAAAAATGGAATTTTCCTATTGATCGATTTTGGTTTACACGGTTTTTTAAAATGACATGGTTTTCATTTGAACCTGCCCCTATATATATATATATATATATATATGTAATCAGTTGGTGAGATTTGAATGATATATTAATATAATAATATTGTTGAAAAATCTTTTGCTTTTCCCTCCATTTCTCTCTTCTTCGTGAGTTTCTACAACAATTTTTTGTAGTTTTTCTTTTGTGTTATTTGTAACCCAATAAAGTGGTATCAGAGCCTATTCAATTCAAGGTTGAAGACAAGTTCAGAAAAGAACAAACATCGCAGAAGAACGATGGATTTCGAAGGTAAGAAAGAAGAACACGACAACTTGTGATTTTTATGTTGTATTCCTCAAAGGAGAAACAACAAATAGGAATGGAAGACACATGTCTGTGCAAAAAACATTGGGAGAAATCAAAACAATATCAAAAGTTTTTTTTAGGGCTACAATAAAACTCTTTGGGATCAAATTTTCCGTAAAAAAGAAAGAAAAAGATGTGGAAAAGGAGGTGGCAATAATGAAGGAAGAACAAAAACATCTAAAGGTGAAACTCGAAACCCTACAGGCTACATGTGAAAATCAGATAAAAGAGAATAAGAGGTTGAACAAACAAATTCCAGGAGATGTTAAGAAAGGGCCTGGAGTAAAGAAGAAGATAATCTTTTAATGGAACATCTACAAGAGCATGGTCCAAATAAATGGAATCTCCTTCTTTCAAAAGGAGTTCTCAAACGAACGGAAAAATCACGTAGACTTCGGTGGTTGAACAACCTTCAATCCAATCTCAAGAAAGGTATGTTTTCGGGAAAAAGAAAAAACAATTGGTGTTTGATATATATGCAAAGTAAGTACGGGACCAATTGGGTAAAAATTGCCACTTATTTGCCTGGAAGATCTGTATATCATGTTAAGAACATATGGTATAATCATCAAAAGAGTATGGCCCAGTTTCTTAGTTTAAAAAAGAGTTTGAAGGTTGGTTCAAGCCCAGATAAAAAAAGATTGTGGAAGACTTGATTATGGAAAGAAAGCTTAAGATTGATTTATTGTTTGCAATAAACCTACCAGACGAAAAGAATCTGGATGTTTCTTTTATGTTGATGATGCATGGTGCAAAGATGGTGTATGTAATAATCTTGTTAACAGAAACAAGAAGGCATGTGTGCCTATGGGTGATGATGACCTTGTGAAAAGAAACAAGGTGATGAATGTACCCATGGATGATACTCTCCCTGGGAAAGTCAAAGAAAGTGATGATGTTTGAAATGTAAATACTTCGAGATGTGTGTTAGCTTAAGAAGGAGTGTTAAAAATATTAACTAAGTCATGTGATTATGTATAAGTAATTCTATTTATGTATCATAGTTTGATAGGTTATTAGTTGGTGACAATTTTTTTGGAGGTTATTTACCCACCGCGGTGTTGGTTCACAAACCATTGTGACGGTCAAAATATGTCCCATTATGTATATATATAAAAACAACAGTATGTGTAGTTGGTGAGATTTAGATGATATATTACTAAAATAATATTGTTGAAAAGTGTTTTGTTTTTCCCTCCATTTCTCTTTTTCTTCTTCGTGAGTTTCTACAACAATTTTCTGCAGTTTTTCTTTTGTGTCATTTGTAACCCAACAAAGTGGTATCAGAGCCTATTCGATCCAAGGTTGAAGATGAGTCCAGAAAAGAACAAATAATGCAGAAGAAAGACAGATTTTGAAGGGAAGAAAGAAGAACACAACAGCGTGTGATTTTTATGTTGTATTCTTTGAAGGAGAAACAACAAATAGGAAGGGAAGACACAGGTTTGTGCAGAAAACCCTAGGAGAAATCAGAACAACATCAAAAGTTTTTTTTTTCCAATTGCTACAATAAAACTTTTTGGAATCGAATTTTTCGTAAAAGAGGAAGTAAAAGATGTAATCGAAAAGGTGGCAATATTGAAGGAGGAACAAAAATATCTAAAGATGAAACTTGAAACCCTACAGGCTACATGTGAAAATTAGATAAAAAAAAAAAGAATAAGAGGCTAAAGAAACAAATTCCAAGAGATGTTAAGAAAGGGGCCTAAAGTAAAGAAGAAGATGATCTTTTAATATAACATATACAAGAGCATGGTCTAAAGAAATGGAATCTCCTTCTTTCAAAAGGAGTTCTCAAACATACGACAAAATCATGTAGATTTTGGTGGTTTCAACACAATCTCAAGAAAGGTATGTTTTCGGAAAAAGAAAAATAATTGGTGTTTGATATGCAGAGTAAGTACATGCACAATTGGGTAAAATTGCCACTTATTTGTCTGGAAGATCTGTATATCATGTTAAGAACGTATGGTATAATTATCAAAAGAGTATGGCCTGTTTAACAAGGGTCTAAAAAAGTTTGAAGGTTGGTTCAAGCTCAGATGAAAAGATTGTAGAAGACTTGATTATGGAATGAAAATTTAAGATTGATTGTATTGTTTGCGATAAACCTGCCAGACGAGAAGAATCTGGATGTTTCTTTTATGTTAATGATACATGGTGCAAAGATGGTGTATGTGATAATATTGTTATAAGAACAAGAAGTCATGTGTGTCTATGGATGATGATGACCTTGTGAAAAGAAGCAAGGTGATGAATGTACCCATGGATGATCCCTGAAAAGTCAAAGAAACTGATGATGTTTGAAATGTTAATACTTCAAGATGTGTGTTGCATATGTCTTAAGGAGGAGTGTTAAAAATATAAGCTAAGTCATGTGATTATGTATACGTAATTCTATTTATGTATCATAGTTTGATAGGTTATTAGTTGGTGACAATTTTTTTGGAGGTTATTTACCAACCGTGGTGTTGGTTCATAAACCATTGTGATGTTCAAAATCTGTCCCATTTGGTATATGTATAACTACAGTATGTAATCAGTTGGGGAGATTTGGATGATATATTAATAAAATAATATTGTTGAAAAGTCTTTTGTTTTTCCTTCCATTGCTCTTCTTCTTCTTCTTCTTCTTGAGTTTCTACATCAATTTTCTGCAGTTTTTCTGTTGTGTTATTTGTAACCCAACAGATTCTACGTTGTGTTTAAATTTGATTTTCAGCTTAATCTTGTGTAACTGTTTTCCTTTTGGATTTTCATCCACAATATCTAGTTTCAAGACATAGCTAGAGGCTACCTCGAAGAGGTTGAGTGGACAAACAGTGGATATGTGGCGTCGTTTCCTGAATATATGAAGAATGGATTAATCACTTCTGGCTACAATGTTATTCAAAATCTGCTTTAGTTGGTATAGGGGAGATAGTAAAGATGTTTTGGCTTGATACGAAAGTCCTCCAAAGACTTTGCAAGCTTCAGAGTTAATTTCAAGACTCCAAGATGATTTCATCACATATCAGGTTAAATTCTCCATTTTCGCACTTTGTTATTAGAAACTACTCCACACACGTATGTTATATGGATGCGAAAATAATGACCAAGTGCAAAATATGGTACACGTCATGGACTTCCTGCTTTTCTATGTTCTAGAGACTATACAGAACAATTATTGGTCATTTGGTTCTTATAAATCGAACTACAAAAATCGAAATTATATGTGGCTTAAACAAATTCTTATAGTTTTGCATATTCTCTATATGCAGTTTGAGCATGAAAGAGGACAATCAGCCACCGGTGTTGATGCATATATCAAGACGTTTGGTGTGTCAGAAAATGAAGCAATTGAAGAGCCCAAGAAAATGATTGAAAATGCATGGATATATATAAACGAGGGGTGTCTCAAGCTAGGAGAAGTCTCCATGGATTTGCTTGCGCCAATTCTCAATCTTTCACGAATGATTCCTGTGGTATATTGGTATGACGATGGGTTCACTTTTCCCGGAAAGACCCCTAAAGAGTATATTAATCTCTTGTTTGTTGGTTATGTTCCCATGTAGTGATAAACAAGCGATTGTTGTTTCTAATGCTCATCTTCAACAACTTTTACAATAATGAGAAAAATAAATTCATATTGGACATGGTCTAAATGACACTACAAAAATGAAGAGCATCAACGACGGAAAATTCCCTCGCAAATCTGTTGCTAAAAAGGTCTTCCGTCGCGATCCGTCGATGATACTCCATCAGTCAACTACTCATAGGTAATGCTATCAGCGATGGATCAACGAGGATACTATCAGCGACGGATCAGCGAGGGAACTGATTCGACGACGGATCAACGAGAGAACTTTCAGCGAGCGGATCAGAAAGAGAACTTTCAACGAAGGATCAGTGAAGGAACTTTTAGCGACGGATCAGCGAGGGAACTTTCAACGATGGATTAGCGAGGGAATATCAGCAATAGATTTTCCTTCACTAATCCGTCGCTAAATATTAATTAATTTAAAAATAAATTTTTTATAACTATATATTTTCTGTATTTATTTATACAAAACCTGGCCATAACATAACAAACCAAAGCTGTGAACAAATTAAAACTAACCAATTCATACGATTTAAAATATTCAATTCATACAACTTAATCTTCAATTTCATACAATCTAACTACCGGGAGGTAGGGGAGGGGAAAAACATATCCTGACTGCCGCATAAATGCAACAAAATGCTTCAATAAGGCGGCCTGTTCGGCTAACGTAGTAGCTTGTCCAACCTGTTCGGCTAATGAGGCAGTTTGTCTGGCCTCTAAATTTGCTCTATTCTTCCGTTCGGTCTCCAGTTCCTTCTCTACCCTTGCCAACTTCTCTCTTAACTTCGTTACCTGTAAATATTCAATATTCGACAAAATCAGTAATTTGTTCGCAATTTTAGTAATGAGAAAGTATAGAACAATATAAGCAACATACCTCTGTTGTTGACTTGTATGATCTCGCGGTGCTACTGCTACATCTACCCGTCATAGCATAAGAGGGATCCTGGGAGGTCCCGAAACCAAAGATGCAGCCCTTCCTCCGTCCTTCGACACGTTGCTCCCAAAGAGATGCCTCAACAGGGGGAGGGCTGTCAGTTCTAGACTGGGACTCACCACTAAGCGATTGAAATCGCTCCTATGGTTCACCAAAACAAAAACGGGTGAGGTTATGTATGTAGGAAATTTCAGCAACATAACGGCTGTAAATCAAACATATCCAGTGCCTGTTTTTAACAATTAAAGCATTCTAATAATACCAATGGTACTCACATTCTCAACCTATCTACTTAGCCTAACATCTGCCCAACAATGGCAATAACATCACTATGTTTATTAAAATATACTACCTTTATCCTACCAAACATATCTATTAACCGAAATAATAATTTTAGAAAACTTACATGACACCTAGCAGCTTTGGGGTAACTGAACTGAGGAGGATCGGTAGGCGGGTCGAACGAACCTTGATTGAACTTCTGGTTTGTGCAGTGAGTGTGTTCAAACAACTCAATATCAGTCGGCTCACGACCCATTAGTTTTGCCTACATTAAATAATTAGGTTAAGTTGTTAGTAAACATAGAGAACGAATTACATATTCAAAAAAGATTATATACTCACCATCAAGTCTCGATGTTGTGCAGTATTGATCAATCCCTCGTGTGTGTGTCTGGATGAAAACCCCTCAAACTGTATGTTCCTATTAGCCCTATTGATCCTGGATTTCCTTTTCCAATGCTCGGTATCCCAAATCTGTTAAAAACATAGCACATATATAAGGTGGTACGAAACACATGGCAGTTCAAAAAGCTCACAATAGTCAATAGAGATACATACCTGGTCAATCATCTGAAGCCAAAACTCCTCTGGGATCCATATAGGATGGTGTAATCTAATCCATGAGAAGTCCTCACCATCCCATTGCTGAGCAGTGGGATAGGCCTGTGCCACGATCCAGTCACGTGCAGCGCTCATCCAATCTGAGTACCTATTGTTCATGGCTTTGGTCCATAAATCATGAACCATGTTATCCAGCTCTTGTTCCCATTGGAACTTAGTCTATATACACAATATTTGTATAAATGTAAAAACAATAACCTTATATGTATAATTACATTAAAATGGTACACCAACCCGAAAGCTTTGGAACATCAAGTCACGGGCTTCCTGAGGGACTTCCTTCCATCTATGCCACAGACTAGCAAAGGAAGACATGAATATAGTCGTCATCTCCCGGATAACATGGGCATTTTAAACCTGTACAATTAAAAAAATTACAACACAAAAGACATTCATATCATTTTATTATGTAATGCAAAGTCCTATACCACATCTACTTACCCATTGCCTAACAAAGAAATATGTCTTCGTTGGCGCGGACGATTGGGTGTCGGCATCTCATTGTTGGGGCCTCTCCCCGACCCTGAACCTGTTGAAGCTGGGGCCTCCATGGCTACCTTTTGTTCATCTAAATCCCGGATGGCGGTCTCCGAGAACTCAACAATGTCATCGGCGCGCGGTTCACCACGCTCGCTAATTGAGTTGCTACCCCTACAAGACATGGGGCTACCACGACTACCATGACGGCCTCGATCGCGCTCTAGGCATGATATCTCTTGAAAAAACAAACATTAGATTATATGTAAGGTTTTGACTACTAGAAAGTCAAACCGTAGGTTTAGAGGAGTTTTTAATGACTTTAAAACTCTAAGTGTAACGGTTTGACTACTTGAAAGTCAAACCGTAGGTCTGAATGAAGTTGGCGGTCTTTAAACGAGTTGAAAAGCCTACATGTAAAGTTTTAACTACTAGAAAGTCAAACCGTAGGTTTAGAGGAGTTTTGGATGACTTTAAAACTCTAAGTTTAACGGTTTGACTACTTGAAAGTCAAAACATAGGTGTAAATGAAGTTGGCATTCTTTGAACGAGTTGATAATGGACCATTTAAGTTTTGACTACTAGAAAGTCAAACCATAGGTTTAGAGGTGTTTTGGATGACTTTAAAACTCTAAGTATAATGGTTTGACTACTTGAAAGTCATACCGTAGGTGTGAATGAAGTTGGCGGTCTTTGAATGAGTTGAGAATGGACCATGTAAAGTTTTGACTAATAGAAAGTCAAACTGTAGGTTTAGAAGAGTTTTAGATAACTTTAAAACTCTAAGTGTAACAGTTTGACAACTAGAAAGTGAAACCGTAGGTTGAATGAAGTTGGCGGTCTTTGAATGAGTTGAGAAGCCTACATGTAAAGTTTTTGATTACTAGAAAGTCAAATCATAAGTTTAAAGGAGTTTTGGAAGACTTTAAAACTTTAAGTATAAAGGTTTGAACGAGTTGAGAAGTCTATGTTTTTAAAAATTTCGGCAGCATAACGGCTATAAAATGAATATTTCCGAATGAATTAAGCTTAATATTTGCCCGACAATTGGCAACCCAATTACAAATATATATATATATATATATATATAGAGAGAGAGAGAGAGAGAGAGAGGTTGGTTCAAATAGAAACCAACCATATTGTACAAACTATGGAAATCGATCTTGACCAATCACATTCTTTCTTCACTTTAGGTTCAAATCTAAATTATAAATTAATGATAAGGGTAATTTGGTAATTCAACCTTTTTGTAACCCCCAATAATTAATTGGGAGTTACAAATCTTAAAAGATACATCTAATTGTTCATGAGATTTTTATGATTTCATGTTCATGGTATTCATTTCAATTGATTTTATACATATATTGAAATTGGTTGTCTAAGTGTACAAGATTTTCGTTTCGTTCAAGATACATGGTATTGTAAAAGAATGTCAGAATAATGAAGACGATAAACGCTTGCAGTCTATGTTCATATCTGCACACATGCAACGATCCTTGATTTTGAAAATGTTCATATCTGTGCATCTCTTGCAGTCTATGTTCATATATGTTCACCATATGAACAACTTGTTTTCATTGAAAGACACAATCGTTGTTCACACGAACCCGTGACGATGTCATACGGCATGACATTGAAAAACATCACACCATATGAACATAGTGTTTACATTATAAGACACAAATGTTGTTCACACGAACATAGGGCCGACATGTGAACATATATGAACATATGAACATAGTGTTTACATTGCAAGACACAGATGCTGTTCACACGAGCATAGGGCCGACATGTGAACATGAGTTGTGAATATGTTCATAATCGATCGTAGGCTACAAATCAGCTGGAGAATATCGAATTCACGATGCGTGAGGATTTATTACCAAAATACCCGTGAACAATTGTTCATAAGCAGCCCAATTAATTTAATGATTAAATTAATTTTTTTTTAATACTCATTTAATAATGACCGTTTGACCAATTTACCATTTGAACAATTGTTCATACACATATCAATTAATAGATTAATTAAATTATTGTTTATTTAATCTCATTTAATAATAACCGCGTTTGATGATAAAATGAACGATCAAAATCGGTTCACATAGTTTGTACCATATGGTTGGTTTCTATTTGAACCAGCCTCTCTCTCTCTCTCTCTCTCTCTATATATATATATATATAATGAAGCCTAATGTTTGCCCAACAATTAGCAGTCCAACAATTGGCAACCCAACTAATTAACAGTAAACATAATCAACGTATGTGTAAAAAATTTAACAAATAATAAACATAACCAACGAATATGTAAAATTTAACAAACAATAAACATAWCCAAYGAATATGTAAAATTTAACAAATAATAAACATAACCAACGAATATGTAAAATTTAACAAACAATAAACATAACCACCGAATATGTAAAATTTAACAAACAATAAACATAGCCAACGAATATGTAAAATTTAACAAACAATAAACATATCCAACGAATATGTAAAATTTAACAAATAATAAACATAACCACCGAATATGTAAAATTTAACAAACAATAAACATAACCAACGAATATGTAAAATTTAACAAATAAACATAGAACAAAAGAACGAATAAAGTTCTACGATTTAACAAATCTAAAGAACAACTTCTAAAA